CAGACTGATCTGCCAGGAATGCTGTGAACAAAATAATGGTTTTGTAGTAGAAAAAAATAACTTGAGTCATGGATTTTATTTCTCTAGATCTAGATTTTATTTCTCTCCTGCTGCAAAAGTGCTGTAGAGGCAAGATGTCCTAACAGGGCAATGAGATCATTCCACTGCAAATTAAGAAATTTTACTTAGGCAGGCTGCAGTTTTTTAAAGATCGTTAATATTAGTGCGTCTGCTTTGTTTAGTGTTTTAGTGTTGTATTAACATCTTACAACTTCCAGATCAAAGATGTTTTGTACAGTGAAGCAAAACTTTCTAGTAGACTTTTGTGCTACAGTCTTGGTTTGAATTCCTTGCATACTGAAGTGGTTAGACTTTTTGGATGCTTAACTTTCTGGCTTTGTGAGTACAACTAAATTAATTGGATCTGGGGTAATAGGTGGAACTCGACATAAAATTGGGAAGTTTACAAGACAAGTCTAACGTAACTTATACATGCTTGGAAATGTTATAAGATATTTTTAGTGATGCTCTTAAATAGTTTGGTTGCTTTTAACTCTTAATGAAGAGGTATCTGTGTTTTATGATTTTCTTATCTCTGTTAACAGATTTGATTCATAGTAATGTAAGATACCATTGTTTTACTCATGTATGTGGTGCCAAGTGATTAAGAAAGTGAAATATCCAAATGGACTTTGTAACATTCCATGATATGTAAAAATATTCATCCTTTTCAAATTACATCCCATTTTGTTGAATTATAAATGATGCATACACATTTATCAAAGTGAATATTCTTAATCAAAGCTTTGATGCACAACCTGAACACTTTTATGGGTGAAAAAACTGTAGAGTCCCTTTTTGCCCATTCTTCTTTCCAAGCTTTCTCAAGTTCTGTCAGTTTGGTTAATGATTGAAAGATGATGCATAATTCTGCAAGGCGCTGTATTTAATACTGTACCCACCCTTCTTTCACTGCAGCTACATCGTCACAAATGCAAAATATGCTCTTGAAAGTTATATTTATTCTACAGACTTTTCCTGTGCCAGGTGCAGAACAACTTTTGATACATAGTGACTTGCACATAAATTTCAGAAAAACCACATCTTGTTGTCATTTCCTTCCTCAGAATAGCTGATGAAATGGGCTCTGTTTCTACAATTATTATATTGTTTTCTACAGTAAGAGTGAGAAGATTATAAACATATATCATTTAAAGATTTACAACTAGTAATGTGCTCAATATAATATTTTTCTAAAGCTGAAAACCATTATATATAGATTGATCCAGATAGATGAGATCAGTTATGTTATAAGCAGACCTCATGATTATATTCGTATTCAGTTGTGGTGGGGAATCTGAGTAACACACTTGATCCTCTGCTGTTTTTTGAGCCCCACATAAATAATGTGATTAAGAACTTCTTTTATTCACCTTTGAAATATTTCCTGAATTAGTCAGTTTCTATCAATGTCCAATGCTGTGCGCTTGATTCATGCATTAACGTAACTTTTAAGCTTAATTTCTGCAACTCATTGCTCTGTGGGCTCCCTAACATTCATCTCAGTAAGCTGAAATATCCAAAATTGTTAAAGGTCCAAAACACTGCAACTAAACTTCTAACTCAATGCAGACCCTAGCAACATATCATTTCTACATTTACATCTGTACATTTGTTTGTTACAAAGCCACAGTTTCAATATAAGATGTTGTTATTGACTTTTATGGCTATAGATAAATGTGTCTCCATCATACATCTCTGAACTCCTCCATATTTACACTCACTTCCGTGGGCTTAGCTTACTTGAGGCTGGTCTTTTGCTCACTGTCCCTAGGACTTAATATATTACATTTGGTTATAGATTGGGGCTTTTTGTGTTGCTGCTCCATATGTCAATATGTCAAAAATGTCAATATACTGTAGTGTCCATAATATTTGCTATTTTAGTTTTTTAGTCAAAGAAATGTTTATTTGTTAATTGCGGATTTGAACACCTGACCTCACGCTTATAAGTCAGTCACTTAAGCTATCACGCTACCGATCTAGTAATGTGGCATGCACTGAAACAGCAGTACACATATCAATGGAAAGTTTTATACTACTGTTTGTGCAACAATACCTGAATATAATTATATTGTTATTAATTTATTTAGATACGTGATTCCATATTATATTCCCTATTAATTCTAAAAGTATGCTTTTTTTTACTCCGATAACGAGCGTATTCGCAGAAAAGGTTAAAACGATAAATTTTCACAAAGTATATAAATGTACAGTAATATGGTCAGAAAGAGAACGTTAAAATGTTTCCAAAATAACCACATGTAAGACTTTGATGCTTAAAATGTTTAGGGAGAAATGGAATACTGGTGTGTATTTTTTCTTTAAACTACCAAGACCAGCTATATAGAGTACAGTTTACATACAGTAATATGTTTATGTTCTTTTATGAGCATGTGAAAGGCATACTTTGTATGATTGGAAACGAATGCGTGATCAGATCAACGAAATTCTGTGGTATTACTTTTTGTCAATGAAAAAATAAAGTATTTTTATTTACAAAGACGGTTACAAAGAATGTGAACCAGGGTAATACTTTGAGTTTACAGCTTGTCCAATGTCATTCATTATTAATACTATTAGTAATATCTTCAGTAAAGACTTTGATGCATAAAATATTTCTGCATAATTAAAATATTTTAAAATAAAATAAGGTGGTAGGCTGTGTACTTTTGTCCAACTGAGCAATCTTGCTTTCATAAAATATACCAACTTTTTAATGCATAATGATTAACATGCTGTAATACACAGTTTAAATTTTAAAGTCTAAAGAATATACAACTTAAATTCTTAATTGAGTAAAGATTGTCCCTCAGTAGTGATCGGGATTCGAAACCAGATGTTTTCTGGCGACAGCTCAAATGTTGTACAGGAGAGGTTAAGCTTTATTAGCTCCACCTGCTGGTTTAAGGTGATTCCGGATACTTTTAACATAATCTACTTTGCATATGGTATATTGGGACACGCCCACCGCGTTGTACCGCAGCATACCCTGTTCGGTTTGAATGGCTGCATCTGTAGATCAAGGTTTGTTTAACTGAGGGTTTTGCTGTAATTGTGGTTCTATCTTATTTTCTTCAAAGCAGTGATCTATTTTTTTTCTGCATTGTTCAGCAAAATGTCTTGACAACACTTTAATCTGTATTCTGTTGAAGTGATGAATATTTAACTATGTGGTTGCTTGAATGTAAAACGGTTTTATCAAGTTTGAGTAGTTGAGTTACTATTTAACTGGATGCCCTGCAATGTACAGTATCTGTTTAACCATAAAATTACAGGAATGTATGGTTGCAGTAACTATGTTTATGTAATTGAAATCTTTGTTATACATGTACATACACTACTAGAATTTGAAAACAGGATAAAGATGCAAGAGTGACTAAGAAGGAGAAGAAATAATAAAATTAGCAATAGTAACTAGGCTAATTCACAAAGTGAAATGTATGTCCAACAAAGATGATTAATAACGATATTAATATAATGAAGATATTATGATAACTATAGTCTCTTCTGTATTGAAAAACAATATTGAAATGTGAAGTATTTAGTACCTTTACTAATTGTTAGTAACTGTTAGCCCAACACAATATTTAACAGTGTTATAACATGTATTATTTTGTACAAATAGTAATATATGTCTATTAGATATCCTCACTATTGGTACGATCTCTATAATTGGCTAAATTCTTTTGATTCATCAACCGTGAAGAAAATCTGATTGGATTACTATGGTTCGGAATTGGAAGGTTTTTAGTTTTAGCATAGTTTTGCAAGGAACTGTACTTAATAACTAGTCAGTTTTCTATTGGATCCATCTCAGGACTTTGAATGGGCCTCTAAAGGACATTAATTTTCTACTTGTTAATCTACTCTGTTGTAAATTTGTTCTTAACAATGACATATATTTCCTTCTGTAAGTTAATTTCTATCCCAGTTTTAGATTTTTAGAAGACCAGTTTTCCTCTAAGATTTGCCTGTACTTTGTTCTATGTTTTTCTCTGTTTTGACTAGCTTCCCAGTCCCTGCTGATGAGAAGTAACTACATAACATAGTGCTGCCACTTCCACGCTTGACAGCAAGGAATGGTCTTAAATGGATAATACGCTGTATTGGGTTTGCACCAGATGTAAAGCTTAGTATTTTAACCAAAATTTTAGGTTTTTGTGTAATCTGTCTGCAACACATTTTGATGCATGTTTGCAGATTTCTTTAAATGCTTTGTTGCAAACTTCATGTGTGATTTGAGATTTTTTAAAGTTTTTTTAGTATATTCAAGTTGTCTTTGTGGACTGACTGAGATATTGTTGACTCATGGACATTTTCTCCCAATCCAGCTATTGAATTCTGTAGTTCTTTCTAAATTGTTGCTGGCCTCACAATGGTACCAGTTTTGTCCTTGCCTGACTGCTCATTGAGGAGGGACAAACAGATCTAGGTAGTGCCAGGATGATGTAATAAACCATTTTCCTAATATGTGCATTTCTATCTTAAAGCTATACTGTAGCTATAATTTTAACTCTGAGTTGTTTTTGAAATTTTCTTGGGCTTCACAGTGACCTTTCAGAATAAATACACCTGTCTCTGAAATCACAGAACCACTATTATTACTCACAGACAGAGACCATTCAGTTAAATAGGAGACTTGTCAAAGTAGTTGTGTGCTCCTAAACTAAATTATGTAGTCAGCAAATTATAGTTTTAACTTGCAGTTATGTTTGAGCACCTGAGCTTTGATTACAGAGATTTAAAAGTGTGTATACATAATTATAATTCAACAAAATCAGATATCACTGGAAGGTGGTAAATAATTTTGTATGGCATGGTACATCTTTAGTTGTAAATATGCACTGACCTGCAGTCTACCCCTGTTTTATTTTAGTTTAATGAAAGTGTATAATATTTATGTAATTATTGTAATAACAATGTGTTTTTGTTTACAGATTTTGAAGCAGTCCTGCACAGAAATTTTAACGGTTGAGCCTTCAAGCATATGTGTTAATGGTGAGTTGATTATATTGTGACTGAAAATTCACTGTGTTTAATGCTTTGAAGTATATTTGCATTCTCTAAAGGGTAAGGTTCTTTGAACAAGCAACAGAAGTGAGAAAAAGTAAGGAGACTTATGAAAAGATTCTTCATAGAGGATTACTTCTCAAATATCAGGCAGAACACACTCAAAAAAAATGCATGCATGCTAAGAACACATAAGGAGTGAATGTTCAGATTTGGGTGATGTAATCAGCAAAGTGTTGTTACTATGTGAATTAGGTTCTGTGCTATTCCTAATTTTATCCCGGCACTGTTTGTAATCTCATTTGAATACAAAATCACAACAGGAGAGATAGCAAAAGCTTTACAAGCTAGGAAATAAATTAAAGAAGAATAATATTCAAGATTGACAAGTGCTGAATTTTTTCTGTACAGCAGGTAGCTAAAACAGAAGACACCCCCTTTAGCAGCAATAACTTGAATTAAATGTTTCCTGTAAGAGTTGATAAGTCTCTCATGGTGCCTGGCCTACTCTTACTTACATAACTTACTTAAGCTCTGTGATGTTTAAGGACACAATATTTTATGGTGTTTAGGTCTGGACTTTGATTTCGTCATTACAAAATTCAGTTTCTTTTTTGAGCTGTTCTGTTTGAAGATTTGCTTGTGTTTTTTGGATCATTGTACTATTGCATGGTCCATTTTCAGTTCAGCTTTAGCTGATGGACAGATGTTCTCACAATTTTCTCACATAGTAAGGGTGGCCTGTAGATTTCTGAATGTAACCTTGAAGTTCTTTGAGACTTTTAGGATCTCAGAATTGGGTAAGACTGTAGATTGTCAATGGTCTTGTTTTCACCTTTTGTAGGTTTTTATTGCTGACCAGGAACACAGAAATGCTCAACCCTAATAGGTTAAGAGAGCTGTCATTTAGGCTGAAATATTTGTCAAATTCAAGAGTTTTGAAAGCAACAACAATAATTCCTTACACTTGTATAGCGCTTTTCTGGACACTCCACTCAAAGCACTAATGTGGACTCCCCTCCACCATCACCAATGTGCAGCATCCACCTGGATGATGCGACAGAATGCTCACCACACATCAGCTATTAGTGGGGAGGATAACAGAGTAATGAAGCCAGTTCATAGATGGGGATTATTAGGAGGCCATGACTGGTAAGGGCCAAAGGGAAATTTGCCAGGATGCCAGGGTAACAGCCTTGTTCTTTTTGAGAAACACCCTGGGATTTTAATGACCACAGAGAGTCAGGACCTTGATTTCACGTCTCATCCAAAGGTAACCCCAGTCTCAGTTCTACGTCTCCTCCAAAGGACGGTGTCTTTTTAACAGTATAATGTCCCCGTCACTATACTGGGGCATTAGGACGCACAAAGGCCCCACTAACACCTTTTCCAGCAGCAACTTTAGTTTTTCCCAGGAGGTCTCCCATCCAGGTACCGAGCAGGCTCACACCTGTTTAGCGTCAGTAGGTTGCCAGTTGTGTTGCAGTTGATTGATAGAACATCACGATTGAGAAGTATGCACTTCTATGCAACTAGTATGCAACTAGTTGCCCTTAGTTTATGATGTCTTTCCCTCAGACTTCCATGCTAACATCACCTTAGCCAATTCTCCTCACCCAGGACCTCGGTTGATCAAACTGCAGTTGATTTACATGTACGCTGCTCTTTGAGCAAAAAAATTACAAGTGTTCTCAAGTAAGCTTCTCAGTGCCAATGCTCACATTAAGGTAGGATATTCTTTTTTCTAATATGGGGAACATTACTTGTTCACTGTAGCATGAGTCACGTGCTTTTATTTGCTGTCATTTTGGTGATGGGTATCATTATTGTACTGATGTGCCCACAGTCTGTTTTCCCTATATCAGAGCTCAAAATTCACACTGGTAGATTGTGCTGGACTGGCAAATGAAAAAGTAGATCTTGCATTAAAAAAGGTTGTGCACCCCTGTTACACAGTGTAGGCCACTGAATGCATTGCTTTTTTCAAGTTTACATTAAATAATTTATATTTATCTTAATGCTAATTTAAGTAAAAAGTAATTAGGAAAAAGATTATTTTATTTTAGATTTTGATAATAACAAATATACATGTACGTTAGTGGCTTTAAAAACATACAGTATCTTACTGTGTTTCAGGACAAATAAGACAAACAGTATAGTTTGTGAAAACAAAAAACAAAACAACTGTAGTAGAGCTGAAAAAAAATGTTTTTTCTTGGGAACCAAAGCAACACAAACATACTTAATACAGCAAAAGTGGGCCACAATGTTAATACTAAGTAAAATGAACTACTTAAATAAACTAAAGTAAAATAAACTACTTTTCAGGTGTTTGACTATTTAAAATTTACTACTTAAGCTAAACAGTTCCTATAGCTTTTATTATTCCATTTTGAATCATTTTAGCCCGTTCTTTACAGAACTGCTTTAATTTGGTGACATACAGATAGCCATTCATAATCTGTGGTAAAGCCCTGTTATGTGGGATTGGGGCTGCAGGTTACCGTGGCACATGATTTGATGGTCAAAAGCACTTGTGGTGCATTTGATGTTAGTGATACAGTTGCTTCATTTAATCTCTGTACTGTGCATGCTTAAATCTGCATAATATGGAATTTTACAACTAAAGGGAAGTTTTGGTAGCTGAGCATAAAAATGGTAGGAGCATAATATCTCTGAACGTCATAACCAATATTAATTTGTCTGTGTAAAGCTGCTGTTGCACTGCAATTTCCCTCACGGGATCAATAAAGTATATATCTTTCTAATTTAGGAATATAAATATATTATACATACTGTATATGGCTGTAGCGGTACCTCAAATAAAAAAAATAAACAACAGTATTCCATCTACTTCGTAAATATTTTATGCATCAAAGTTTTTAACCTAATCACTTACTGTGGTTATTTTGGAAAAGTTTTGATGTGCTTGTTCTAATTATATTAAGTTGATATACTTTATAAAAAACTATAATATTTTAACCTTTTCCATAAATACTTGCTGTCTTTATTTCAGTAAAAATGTGTGTTTTTAAAAATCTGCTTAATAGCGAATAAGATCTAAATATCTAAATATAATATTTATATAGCTGGTAGGATGACTGTATTCCACTTTCTTTGTGAACGTCAGCATCAATTTCTTTGACTCATTCACTCATGATTACTTTGGAAACATTTTAATCTGTCCGTTTTAACTATGTTACTGAGTGGCACATTCGTGCAGTGGGTTGGTGCATGGCTTTTTGGAATTCAGAGGTCTGGGTTTGATTCCCGCTTAGGGCACAAGTTTTTGTTCTGACAAGCAAAGACTCAGTTTTAAAAAATAAAATAGTAAATATTCTTACACTATACTGAGTTTATTATTTTTATATATCACAATGGTTTTGATGTTAAATGATATTAAAAACATGAATGAGCAAACCTGAATACTTTCAACAGTGGGAATAAACACCAGTTCAACCAGTCAGATTCAGTTAAATTCAAAATACTTTATTCATCACCTAAGGGCAATTTAGCACAGGCCTTTACAACAAGCCTTAAAACGAAATTGTATATATTATAATTATAATTGAAAACAACAAACTTGCATTTAAAAGATCACTGAAACTGGACTATAATAACCTGTCTGACCATTATTAACACATTTAATTAATTAATAATGAATAATAATTTCAAACTTATTGTGTTTTGTTCAAGATCATTTGTTTTCTCTGGTGTTCATAACCTTTACTTTCTAATGAAAACGCCTATTTATGAATCACAATGTTTCAGATGTCAATAACTTTGCGAACATATGACAATGAGCCTTCAAACCACAGCCATTTTAAAGATTGCAATCTGTGAAAGTTTTCATATAATATAAAAATATCATACTAAAAATAAGATACACTCTACACCAGCAGAGAGAGAGAGAGAGACGCACACAGTTTTTCCTTGTCAAAAAGTAATGTTTTTTTTGCTTTGTCGGCACCCAGACAAACGCAAACACGTTTTTTATTAATTCTTAATCTGACTCACATAATTTACATTCCCGAAGTTATGTGAGTTAGATTATGAATGAATAAAAGCATTTTATTAAAAACACATTACGTTTGGGTGCTAAAAGGTAAGACGTAAAAGGTCTTAGTCTCCATACTATGGTTGCTTAACGAGAGAAGTTCTACTGTAAGCAAAAAAAGGGGGTTTTGGAGGGGGGGCAGCATTTCTTGTGTTGTGCAGCTTTTCAGCTAAATATATTTAACGGTTACACCTGACATTGGTGGTGCCCGCCTGCGCGGTGACGTCACCACATTTCCATCTGAATAGCTACTGAATAGGCAGTGAAAACATTTGTCTGTCTTTCCGTGGGGGGAAAAAGGGACTGTATTTGATTGGAAGGCACGCCTGTTCTACTCTGAGAATGCCCATTGTCTTTTCACTGATAAACTTGTGTTATCAAAAAACACAGTATGCTTAAGTATGCTTAGGAGTTGTGAAACTGTTTTTTATTTATTTTTTGGCACAGCCAGCCATTATTTCATTCCATTCCATATTAAGCAATTAACAAGCAAATTTCACTCAAGAGTGAATTAAATCAGTGAGTCTAAAAATGTTTTTTTTTTGGATATAGTATATAGTATGTTGAGGGCACTAGAAATGTATGTGAATCTTGTATTTTAAGTAACTACTAACTACCAAGTGAGCCAAATAGCCGCCTCTAAGGTTGCTGCTGGAAGAGGTGTTAGTGGGGCCAGCAGGGGGGCGCTCACCCTGCAGTTTATGCGGGTCCTAATGCCCCAGTATTGTGATGGGGACACTATACTGTAAATGGGCGCCGTCCTTCGGGTGAGACGTAAAACTGAGGTCCTGACTCTCTGTGGTCATTAAAAATCCCGGTTCTCGTAAAGAGTACGGGTGTAACCCCGGCGTCCTGGCCAAAATTTCCCATTGGCCCTTACTGGCTTCATTACTCTGCTCTCCTCCCCACTGATAGCTGATGTGTGGTGAGC